TAGATGGATAGATACATAGATACATAGATAAATAGAGAAATCGATAAATAGATAATTAGATAGATGGATGGACGGATGGGTAGATACATAGATAGAGAGATGGATAGATGGAGAGGTAGGTAGATGGGTAGGTAGATGGAGAGGTAGATAGTTTTTTGATGTTTTTTGGTGGCAGAACTTCTTGGCCTCAAGGACTAGCATGGGGAGGTCACGTGAAAATTTGCACAACCAGAAGCTCCACAATTTTCTCATGGAACTGCAGCAGAATCCGGAGCCGTTGGGGCCAGTGGTTACCGGCTATAGAGGGTGGGGTCAATTTAAGTTGTGGGACAAACCAGAGTCCCAGAGATTTGCTTAAAATGGGATGAATTGACCTCCAGTTATGCGGAATCGCTCTGTGGTACGGTGTCCGCAATAATTTACACCTATTGCACCTTCTGCTTTTCAGTATCAAAGGCGCAGGGAACATTTGAAGTCCAAATAACATGAAACACAGGCCAGCACTGGAAGTGGCTTGATGTGATCGCTCCAGGAGATCTTTGAACTCTACATTGGGAAGATCCGGAACAACAAAAGCAAGAAACGGGCCATGCAGGAATCGAAAGCCGAGGTAGTCCCTCGCCAGCAAACTTGGAGCCCAACAGCTCCAGGGCGGCAGGTGATATCACTTTGAATGGCGTTGGAGACGACAAGACAGATGGACGTCTTCCGAATTCCCCTATCGCATAGATGGAAGATCTCAAAACCCTTGCGGGTTGGTGGTTACTGTGATATTTTTTGAGTTTACATCTAATCCTAATATACATATAAATAGCCTTTCATTTTTCATCCCAAGATGATCTGTGTTTTGAGTAGCCAATCTCTGTGTTTTGACAACCACCAATCTCTGTGGGTCGAATGCGACTTTTCTGGGCCTTGTTTACGTGTCGCCTGGTTGGGGCTTTCGGTTTTGGCTCAGAGATGGGCTACCACCATTACCCGAATCATTCCGATTTGTAATGGATGATCAGAATGATGTATGATCATTGATTGCTTATGAATACATACCACCATTTGTAATGTAATGATTCTGATTTGGAATAATCCTGATTGCTGTTGTATGATTGGATTATAAGGATGCACCATCCATGGGATTATACAATAAGTTTCAAATGTATTGGGATATGATGGATATGTGACTGTGACGTAACACTTTTTCTAGCACCCTTTTATAATTTTTGGACGAAGCACCCGGGCGGCCCGCCTGGGAAAATCTTGAACTCATGGGTGAAATGTCCCAGAGTCATACCGAGTCCCGATTTTTTGTCGGGATGTACACTGGCGGGCGAATAACTTGTGGCCAGAAATTTCTTCTGGCTCTGTTGTACTCTGTCTGCCAAGGATCCTCATTTCGTGCTTGTTTAAAGGTAGGATCAAGAGCAAATTGTAGTTTCAACCACCATAAAATAGGGGGACTTTGAGGGTCTGAGTACTCTATCACCATGTACAGGATTTTTCTGGAGATTTCAGGATCTCCTTGTTGTCTCAGTGGGCTGGAAGCTAACGACATGACAGCACCCCAGCGTAGATGTAGGATGGTAGGCCCTGGTAGGCTGTTTCATCCAATGCCACAGCGAACCCAACGGGCTGCAAAGCCGATGCAAAAAAGAGGAATCGACAAAGGATGCTGCCGGTGCTGCAATCGCTTGAGGAATCGACAGTTTTGTGTATTGAAGATTATCGTTTTGTGCATACAGTACTCTGGGCATAGCTCGAAATTTCGCCACAAAAAAGATACAAAGGTGGCTGCAATTCTTAGCTGTTTTGAACCGCAAACCCATTCCTTGGAAGTTCAGCATTGCGCGCACAAGGACAACTGGATATTCCCAAAGAAACTGTTTTTTTGAGTCTTCCCCCAATATTGACCATCTGGCGATGGCGAAATTCACACCATCCAGAAACCATGGATGGAGATGAAACTTACAATGAATGAAACCACTGAGACCAAAGTCACATCCATTAACCATGGCTATAGGCCATAGAAATAGTTGATTTGTTGATTTACCCAGAAAAACAGCATTTTAGTGATTTTCCAGTTCGTTTTTTGTATGTTTACCAGGCCGGGTAACCATGGGGCTTTTCCCGGTGGGACATCTGGGCTGTACGGTGGGGCATCTGACGAGGCCGAACTGAAACATGGACGCCTGGCCATGTTTGCGGCGGTGGCATGGCCTCTGGCCGAGGTCACCTGCCCTTGATGCCCTTGATGCCATGGTCCGAGATGGACCACTTTGATAAACGGATACCCTCTGGTTATGTCAAAATAGCTATTGAAAATGGTGATTTATAGTGAGTTTACCCATTGAAAATGGTGATTTTCCATAGTTTTTTGTATGTATACCAGAGGGTAAACATTCTTTGCCTACTATAGCTTGGTGGTGACTGGAACCATGGAATGAAAAAATAATAAAATAATGACTTTCCATTCAGTTGGGAATCATCATCCCAACTGACGAACTCATATTTTTCAGAGGGATTGAAACCACCAACCAGATTATCTATATTTATCCAGTGGTCTACGTGGATTTTTTGCATATAGAATGATCATGAATCAATATGAATCACACATTTATATTTTATTGCTCGTATCATAAACAGAAAACATCACTGTGGTTCCCTGTAAACAATTTTCCCGTTATTATCTTCAGGGCTGGAGTTTTGAGCCCTCAGATTTGTCACCTGTGATTCTTCTATCAAACAAATCTAGCTTTCAGCGCTTCGGTAGTGGAACCTCATCACCTCATCCGAAAAGCGGAACCTTTTTTTTTTTGCGGCTGATGAGGATTTGAAGGTTCATTTTCAAACATTTCGATATTGGTCAAGAGAGACCCTCTGGGAATTCATCGAAGTAAATGGGCCGTCGATACCAGAAGATGACCATAGCAGTGGCCGCAGATTGTTGACCAAAGTCTGGTCGACTCCGATGATGCTACACAGCAAAGCTACGATTTGCCCGGGAACCAAAAAGAAACCGAAGGTGGAGCTGAAAGACGGGCTCCAGGACTACCCCTGTTTGGATGGCTTCGGTGATATGAACAATGATCCCCCTGTCACCCACCACTCACTACCTTGAGAAACTTTCATAAAGAATTGGAATGAACTATATATATATGCATTCACCTGACGGAGTGCTTGCTAATTGAACAGTTCGGACTGCCGCCCCCATGACAAATTTGGCGTGCGCGAAAAGGGCTTCACCCTTGACGAACATGCTGTTGGTCGGTTTTGAACATCAGAATTTTCCTGGATTTGTGATTTCTTGTGTGGAAATGCACCGTTCCATGAGTATGTTCTTGAGGACAACATGCGAGAACTGGTGCGGTACCCTCCAGCTAATCAATATAGTGTAAATATGACAATTAAAAAAAACATCCTAATGAAACAAGCATTTATTGCCATATCAATATTAACTGACTGAGTATCCATTGTTAGTGATATTTTTCCATATACACAAAAAAGGAATCCTATATCCCCATTGCACCCCCCAAATTAACACAAACCCATCAGTCGGGGGTTCAATACTATTACTTTCAAACAAATACCGATTATCAGGGTCGAACTCTTCATTTTGGGGCTAAATATGGGTAGATCCTACAGGATGGCCCCCACCAGTTATGAGTTGGCTTATAGACCATAAACCATAGAATTCAGCCACTTGTATCTCAACTTAGCTATCTTGGGGGGCCCCATAACTCTTCATTTGGTGGGGCTAAATATAACAGTTTGCTATGGAAAACCACCATGTTTCAGAGGGAGTCATCAACGAAGTAAATTGCCAGATTTATCATAAAGTTTTCCATGGTTTTCCATCATAAATCGATCATAAATTGGGGTACCCCCTATGGAAACCTCCATATTTAGCGATATCGGTGACTCGGTGACTTCTCCGAAAAAAAATCGCTCCGAGTTTGGCGGAGACGGGCGGCAAGATGCTGCCGCAGCTGGGTGGAGAGAACGACACGTGCGGACACCGAACGGAGCAGTGGAGCTTTTTTAGCTGGATGATCAATAGATGATTACTGGATCCATGGATTGGTTTAAGGGAAAATTTACAGGAAAACCCAATATTTAATGGGAAAATCACCATTGTTTCCTGTAGATTTTCCCGTGAAAACCAATCCATTGATTGGATGAGTGGATAAGTCATGGTAAATTTCATCACGACCTCACTGTCCTCCCGAGCCCTGGAAATCATGGGTTTTTATAAGGGAAATCATCCCCTTTTATGGCCGCAAGATTCAGGTTAGTGAATTATTATAATTTACCCAGATTATTATAATCAATAGATGATTACCCTCTGGTAAACTAAAATAACTATGGAAAATCACCATTGCTTAATGGGAAAATCCACTATTTCTATGGTCATTTTCAATAGCTATGTTAAATTACCAGATGATTACTGGATGAGTGGATAATTCATGGATGAAGAAACCATGTGATTCATTCTGATTTGGATCATGAATGTACGAAAAAAATATATTGGATGATGAATGGCATGATTAATTTATGATTGATTATTGATCAATAAATAGATAAGTTCTACCGACCAAACTGGAACTGGAGCTGGACACCCTCTGGTAGTCAATCGTGGCAATTGAAAAATCCTTTGTAGATCTTCAAAAAAGGACAGTCATCAGGATCTTCAATTGCCACGTTTGACCGGAGGCTGCAAACCATCCCGGTAGCCGACCATCATATCGGGGGTCATTTTAAAAAACAATCCCAAGCTGGATAATCTGGATTTCATAAACCTCAAAAGCGGATGGTGTAGATTAAACATAGATTAAACATAGATTAAACACCAAGCCAGATTTCATGAAGTTTGCCAACTTGGTCCCCCTGGGGATGGTTTGTTGGATTTCAGTGGAACACATGGCTGGGCTCAATCGGATCATTTAGACGACCTGTCAGCAACATACCTTTGGTGACACGATGGAGTAGCGGCTGTGCAAAATGCGGGGGTTCAGGTCAGGGGTTATTCATGGATATAACTACCCCAACTTGGGATATAACTGATATAACTGGGATAAGGTTTTCACAAGGTTTTCATTTCTGTTTTCATATCCAATTTCAACTGGAAGCCCCACATCAAATTGAGATTTCACCAGTACTTTTTTTTGTACTTTTACCACCTGCTGTACGAATTGTGATTCCTCAGTCGCAACAAAAATCCTGGCCGATTTTGACAGATCCAAAAAATATGTACGTCTCAACACGGAGGTGAACTATCCCAAATCAATCCAAATCAATCCAAATCATCTTACGGAAACATGGGAATTTGCTCAGTCCGGAAACAAATTTGAAGGACTCACCACCTTTGATGGGGGTGGCTTTCGACCAAACACAGCAGATTCCGGCCATGAAGGATGGACTGGCAGGGCTGGCAGGGCTGGCTGGGCTGGCTGTCGTTGGGGCCGCATTCGGTGCCTTCCATCCGAACCTTCACGGCAGCTGGGAATTTCTGTGGGATGATACCGAGCACCTTGGACGAAGATCGGAACGATCGAAACCTCGGGGTCAAAATCAGGTCTCTCAAGGTCTCTCAATGGGTGAAAGTCGACTCCATATTTTGAGGATTTTGGATGTTTGATGTTGATTGGATGAATCCCCGAGCTCCAACTTGAGGTTCGGGTTTTCGCCACGTTCAAATTGGGTCTATTAGCCTTCCCAAATGTGACAAGGAAATCAGTATGTTGGCATATGTTGGCATTCTGGGATGACTGTCACAAAGATTGCCAAATGCTGAAAGCATCAGGCCCAGGGCTTAGCCCTCAAGAGGTCTCCAAAACTTGGAGCTTGATCATAGATGATTTGAAGACATGGAACTTCGGGAATGACCTGGAATGACCTGCGCAAAAAAATCAGGACTTTGCAATTTGTATCATTTTCTATCCATCACCTGTTATCCAACAGGACTGTTGGGAGAGGTTGACGTTTTGAATTTGGATGGGTCCGAGGAACTTCAGTGAAGCCATGCTGAAGCGCCTCCATTGGTCCTTGGAAAATTTTCACTGGTGGTGTGAGACCTCTGTGCTGCGGGTATATGAGCCACTGGCGCTAGCCTTCAAGGCAGGGACGAAGTTGGGTTGCTGAGATGTAGCTCATTGTCGTATGCTTTTCAGATTGTTTGTAGATGTTTCTTGGAAATGGGAAGGATAAGACTAGCCTCTGGGTTTAGTTACTAGGCTTAATCATTCATAGTTACTAGCTTACAATCATTACATGTCATTACAACAATTATGAACCACTGACATCCATTAGTCAGACCCATTCAGACCCCATCGAGGAAGATTCCTCCACCAGAGGCAAGTGTAGCTGAGTTTTGGGAGCTCAGCCCAGAGCATCTACACATTGTGGCAGGCACGGCACGTGTTCACAGCCAGTTGAAACGGTGGTTCATCGATATTTTGCTAAAGAGATATTGGAAGTCAAGATAGTCAAGGCTGGCAACATTTTTTCTGTTTTAAACGCCCGAAAGCCACTCGATTCAGCCTTTTGGGCCACCAGCATCCAGATTGCGGGTCATGGGGCAACGATTTTTTGTGTCTTTTCCTGCAGGCTTTTCCCATGCTCTATGTGCCAGCTTGGCATTTCTTGGGAGTCGCAAGATCATGAGCATATTGAGCGAAGAGGAATTGAATCCTCCCCATGCTCCTTGGAATATGCACTGACATGATGTTGATCATTTGGAAAAGGCTATGTTTGGTTCAGCTTATCCCGAACATGTACCACTTTGGTATGTGTTATTTATACAATGTTATACACTAACATCTGTATTTGTGCAGATGCTACGATTTTTTAAAAAAACCAGAGCTGGAGTCTCAGGATGACTGGACGGTCTTTTGCAGAATGGCTGGAGCCATCACCTTTGCCGTTCATCCACTCTGCGCACAAGCGGTTTCATGGTCTTATCATGTTTTATCGAATCGGGCCTTCCAAGATGTGGATGCAATTGATCAATGGGTGTAATGCGGGTAAAACAACAATAAACCATCCCCCAAATCACCATAAATGGGTGATATAAACCATTTCCAAATGGGTGGTTTGTTATTCCTCTCACTTTTCATAGCAAATACTCCAGGTCCAGGGTCTCTGAGGTGTACGGGCACCGAAGAATGTTCAAGTGTTACTACTACTACTACTACTACTACTACTACTACTACTACTACTACTACTACTACTACTACTACTACTACTACTACTACTACTACTACTACTACTACTACTACTACTACTACTACTACTACTACTATACATACATATACATATAGAGCATTTTTTTGTATCTAAAAAAATATATAGTAATACCTATATATTATATACATATATAATAATATAATATATAGAATAATATATATAATAATATATATAATAATAATATAATATATGTAATAATAACCATATAATATATATATATAATAATAATATCACATATATATCATAACAATATAATATATATAATAATAATATAGTATGTATATATATATATACAATAATATATATAACAAAAATATAATATATATATATAATATACATAATTATATATATAATATAATATATATAAAAGTAATAATGTATAATAATCATAATTAATAAAAATAATTAATAATAATATTAATAACATATATATATACAATAATATAAAATAATGGATATGAATGTAATATAATATAATATAGTACAATGCAATATAATATCATATAAAAAGGTATAATATAATATAATTTAATACGCTATGTAATATAATATAATCTAATATAACACAATATGATATATGATATGATATACAATCAAACATGATATAATATAATTTAATATAACATAATATGATAAAATATAATATACTGTGATATAATATGATTTGATAGGATATAATATGATATAATGTGATTTAACATAATATAATCAAATATATAACATAATATATAATATACTACAATGTGATATAATATACTATAATACAATACCATAATATGATCTAATATAATGCAATAATGTAGTATAATGTAATATAGTATAATGCAATATATTCTAGATAATATAAGATATAGACTATAAAAAATGTAATATATGATATGTAATATAATATATAATGTATAATATATAATATATAATATATGATATATAATATATGATATATAATATATAATATGATATATAATATATAATATAATATATAATATATAATATATATAATATATAATATAGAATATATGATATACATAATATATAATATATAATATATAATATATAATATATATAATATACAATATATAATATAAAATATATAATGTATAATATATTATTTAAAATATTATATAATATGATATATCATAGTAAAATATGCTATGATATGATATAATATAATTAGAGTAACATAATATAGTAATCTAATATAGAGATATAATTAAGATATGATTGATAATGTGTATATATATATATATATCCATCATAGTTATGATATCCCCCATAGTAACCCATGATTTTTGCGAACTAAACCTCTATGGCTCGTTCTTCGCGGATCTTCCGTCCCTTGTTTTCTGGCAGCCTGCGCACGGGTGCACTGTTTACTAACATATAATATGTCTACATATCCATATGATTGTCTATATAGATACATCATATAGATATATAGACAATCATCCATATATGTCTATATATCTACCCTCTGGTAATTTAACATTGCTATTGAACATGGCCATAGAAATAGTGGATTTACTCATTAATAGCATGGTGATTTTCCCCAGTTTTTTGTATGTTAACCAGAGGGTAGACATACAGTACATTTTTTTATAGGGGATTTAGGGGGATTTCCATGGATTTCCCTGAATCACTATGGCTTTCCTGTTGTGAAAATGGCTGTCATCCTTTAGTTTCCATGGATTTATGGGATCGCCTCGGCCAGGTTTGCTGGTCATCTTGCTTGCCCTACATTTGGTCAGCTTCACTGTGTTGCTTGATTTTGTGAAAATGGCTATGGGTCAAAACTCTAGTGCCCTGACGAACACCAACATAGATGGTAAATGGATGTTCATCCTCAAAAAAAAGTATTTGAAGGTATTGATCCATAGCCAAATATTTCGATGGTTTTTCGGATGAGATTTTCAGCGTTGGATGATGCCAAGAAAACACCGAAAAATCCGAAAAGATGGGCAAAACCAGCAAAACATATCTCCTTCCCCTCCTTTCGCGCAGCTTTTTGAGCTAGGTTGGCTCTCCTTGCTCTTCTTCAGAAGCCAGCGGGGGGGAGCAACTGTACTGAATTGCTGTTCTGCCATTGCATACTTTGGTGCCTCTATGTGCAAGGCTGCTGTCTTGCTGTGGCCAGCACTTTTGACTCTTCTGCGCTGGACCCGAAGGAACCGAGGGAACCGAAAGAATTGCAATGAAGGCTGCCCTTTGGCCAAAGGGTTGCCGTTGATTTCTGTGTTGAGTAAAAACTCAACATCTCGGTGCTGGTTGTGCCCTGCAGGTGAGAAAGGCAACAAAGGAAAGAACCTTTTGTCTTCTCTACTTGATTTGCTCTATACGGAGTTTCTCCATTGGCTGGTGGCTCTTTATGCTGCAAAATGCGCGCTGGAAGCCGCCACTGATACGAGTCTTGAGTACCAGAGCTCCGCAGTTCAGCTTCAGATGCTGGACAACATTTTCAGGGCCTCGGTGTCTGTCTATCTTTACATTTGGCGCATGTTCACTCCTCTCAGCGTGCACCTGGCTGAAAAAAAGAGCCTTTCAAGATTTTTCGAATACTTTTCACTTCCAATCTTTACTTGGAATAGCATACCCATCTATACCCCCGTTTGACGATTTTTTTTTTCCTCGTGGGTTGGCATTGCTAAGGCGTTGCTTACCTTTTCATCCGGTGGCTTTGGGGGGATTGACTTCCGAGCACCAGATCTGCGGGGCCGTGGCTGCCGCGAGCATTTTGGGCATCAGTGGCGCCCTGGTCGTCCTTGTTTGGAGAGCTGCAAGTGGCGCAAGTGTCGCAAGTGCCGTGCTGTTCTTCTGGGTATCTTACCTGGTACTCTTGTTGCCCTGCCTGCAACTACTGCAGCACGGAGATCCAGTCTCTTGCCGTTGTGTTTTCAGCCATCTTTTTTCTCGTTTTTGCACCTGGGGCACGGAAAACACTGATTTTCCATCCATACCGTACAGTACCATACCATGCATTACGTTGTATTGCCCTACATTGCCTTGCATTGCATCGCTTGCATTGCATGACATTACATTACATACATTATGAATTCATTGTGTACATTGCATAGATTAGATGAAACAGACGACATAGATTACATGCTTGCTTACTTACTTCCTTCCTGGCTTGTTTACTTGCTTGCTTCCTTGCTTCCTTGCTTGCTTGCTTGCTTGCTTGCTTACTTTACTTCTGCACAGCAAAGCGATAGGGCCATCGCAAAAAGCGCGTAAACAATTGATTTTGACGGCGTCTCATATATATATACATACATACATATGCACACATCATTACACATCATATAAATGAATAGATAGATCATATATATGTATATTTGTTTATTTATATATCCATTTACCCAGATCCATTTCAGGGGACAGTTCTGGCGAGAACAATCACCTGTTGGCCTGTTGGCTGAACATTTTTGGCCACCTGCAAGTAACATCAGGGTTTGCCTGAAAATGTACCAGGCCATTCCATAAAAGCCCATAGTTTATCATCACTTTCCACATTTAACGGCCAAAAAAAATAGTGGTCCATCCTCCTTTTTGGAACCAATCAGGTGTGGTATGCTGATAGATACGCCTACGTTCCTTTGGCTCTACTCCTTCCCCCACTGGTTGCATGGCTGCTGGCGTGCCTCAGAGGCAAGCGGCGTCTGGTGGCGGCTGCCATGGTTCCCATGCTCTGGCCGGTCCTGGCGCAGCAGAGCACAAGATCTTGTGACACTTGGCCGACTTGAACGACTTGGCTAGTTGCGGCTAGTTCACCAGGTTACCATGCGCCGCAACCCCCAATTGTACTTCCAAGCTCCGGACCATCTTCGTGGTAAGTTTTTACATCATGTCAACGACAGAGGTAGCAACAGCGGTAAGGAAGTGGCAGATCACGGTAATGGTCCAGTAGCGTGTGCGTTGGCGGGTGAAAGGATGGAAGCGTGCAAATCATTGTATTGTTTACAGGTATGGTGGGGTTGCCAGGGGAGGGTTCGCTTGGTGCCTGCACGAAGAGAAGATTGGGCTACAAGAGCCACCTGAGAGAAGTAGCCGAGAGAGGGAGGAAGCTCAGAGAAAAATTAGCCCAGATAAGAAGCAGCTCAGAGAAGAAGAGGAGGTACCTCAGAAAAGAGACAGCTCAGCGAAGAGGTAGCTCAATGAAGAGATATATCAGTGAAAAGGTGGCTTGGAGAAGGCTTGGCTTAGGAACTTAGGGATTGTTTGGCTCCAAGGAGTGGCTCATTCAATCATTCAGCCAGTCAGACATGCAGTCATCTGTGCCCTCATTCCTCCATTCACTGATTCATTGGTTCGTTCATTCATTCGTTCATTCATTGATTCATTCTTTCATTCACCCATTCATTCACACATTGACCCGTTATACATTCACTCATGCATTTTAAATCATTTAAACATTCAATACTCAAGCTGTATTTCATTCTATTCATTGATGTTCCTGGGACCATGCGATGTGCATGCGGCATGGCCGGGCACTACTGCTACCTCTACTGCTACCTCGATTCGATAACAGCACATCATCAGATAGTAAGACTGGTTTCTGTGGTGATTGTTGGGGTCTAACCACCATTTACGCCACCATTTGGTCACTGTTTGGTCTACTGAGAGTTGAAAAATTGGCTGTGTCTAACCGTGAATTCATGCGTGTAGTCTCAGTTTTTCTTTTCCATGTTTTATCATTTTTTTCCCATGCGGTCTTTTTTATTTTTTTTGTGTCTCCTCTTTTTTTATTGTTTTTTCTACGACCAAATTATGGATGTACCAGTGGCCAGACCTCTGTTACTCGCGAACCCATCGAGGAGTGCTGGCGGAGTGGCGTCAAACTCTGGGGCACCGCGGCAGATTTGCTTGACGCTTGGGATATTTCCAACCAACCATTGAGCCCTCAATGAAGCACAATCGGCAGATATAGCAGGTGGGGATGTACGAATGGTATCGAATGGTACAAAACCGCAGATCAGATGTTTAGATGATTTTAGATGTGCGCCATTTTGGGGTAGTTTGCAGGGGATTTTCTGCATTTGACATGTATCTGATTATTGAGGTTATCCGGATTTTTTTTTGTATGTTTTTGCGGTCTCTCCACTTGTTTGTTTTGTTATAAATCTTTTAAGCAACTAACAGACATAGGCACTTTCGTCTATTTCTTTAAACATCCGTTCTTGAAACGTTTCAAACGCGGATTTGTTCATATGATCCAGGGTCATGTTCAGGTTGGGGCCCTTTCAACTAGTTTGGTCAAAACATCAAAACCAACAATTGAACAGTTGAACAGCTGCATTGAACTGGATGTGACCAAACATATTCGATCTCTGCGTTGGGTTCCATGTGGTCTAAATCTTCCATAACTGGTTGGTGGTTTGGAACATGGCTTTTATTTTTCCATAATATATGGAAATAATCATCCCAACTGACTTTCATATTTTTCAGAGGTGTTGAAACCACCAACCAGATAATTCTTGAATTCCTGATATTAAGAACCAACAGCCTAAATCCTCGCACCCTGCTGTTTCATATTCTATTCATGTCAGGGTCATTCTACACCACTTCTGACATCCAAAAACTTTCACGTGCAAGACTCGAGAGGATCCTTGAACTGTTCAGAGATAATTGTTCTTTTCAGATCATCTTTTATCTCCAAACATTCAGTAGTGCTTCAGGCATTTTTTTCAAAAAATCTCCGGTAAATTGACATAGACACCGCCGTTGGAGCTTGGAAGATGTGTTTCCACTCACAAACGTCTTATTTTCGGTGAAACTCTGACCTGTGGATACCTGTGGTAATATGGCAATGGAACATTCCTCCATTTATCGATGTCCCTTTTTCAACTCCTCCGGGTCCCAAAAATCTCAAGGATTGGCCCGCCTTCCATCACCAGCTGGGGGTCTCCCTGCTGGCGTCAACCGACCTGCCGCGAGCGCGGCAAAGCTTGCAGCGCGCCTGGGGACAACGTCAGGATGCCTTGACGGCCAAAGCCATGGCGCGCTTGGTGGATGCTACAGGCCTGGAAAATGGTGACCTACGGGGAAAAATCATCCCCAGGGCTGGTACTGTAGCTATCTTCAGGCGTCTTCAGGTGAATCAATAAAATCTTCAGCTTTGTTTGAAAATTGGCTCCCTCTTAGAAAGGCTCCATCATCACCCATGATTTATCAGCATTTTCTTACGAAAGTTCAGGACATAGGCCATTGAAAAGGGCACTCCCGTAGTGGCTACTGGCTATTCAATGGGGTTTATTGAGAATTCCACGTGGACAACAAAAAACTAAAGATATGAGAGTTGAGTGCCTGACAATGGCATGTAGCCTTTTTTATCATAAGATATGAGGAAAATGACGTTAACCATGGGATGAAATGTGTTTTTCATGTTTTTTCTCCTGAAAATGTCCGACAAATTCAGGTGACTTCCCAAATACTGCTTCAGTTTCGCCGAACTGGAAACGATGCTGGTAATCTGACGGAATTGTGGTTCCTGATTCGGACAATTCCATGAGGATTTCAAAGATTTTGGGGAGATTTAGTGCTATATATATATTATATATATAGATAGATAGATAGATAGATAGATAGATCTAGGTATATATAGCAGATATATTAAATGTTCAACACACGTGATTTGGGGGTGTCTGAATGGTGACCTATTAGCATAGGGAAACAGATGATAAAGAATTGGTTGATTTGGGCGTATCCAAGCTGGCAGTTTGATCCAAGAATCGGCCATCTCAAGAGCCAGTCTTCCCCGATTTGGCAAGGTCTTTCCGATTAGGTGGAGGGATGGTAAGGCAAAGAAGGACGGAACGTTGCACCACTTGGGGAACGACCCGTCAAATTTACATGGAGATCATGAAGATCAGAGTGGGCCGGATTCTCCGACAAATAATGAATCGGTGACGTCACGAGAGTCAGGAGATGGTGCAGAATAGGACCAGAAGCCAACAAGAATAACATCAAACAACATCGAACCTGAAAGGGACATAAGTAGGAAACGGTGCAAAGGCTAGGGAAGGAAGACATCAACACACCTTCTTCCGGAAGAGAACGTACAAAGAAATTGGGAAAAAAAGTGGTTTACCATGGGAAATCCGGAAAATTTCCCGTGTGACCACCGAAAATGACCAGGCGCCACGCTTTGGTCTGAAATGGAACCATTTGTTCACCCGGAGATTTGTACGCCGCCTGCGGTGTTAAGATTGGGATGGGGCCAATGACTAAGCCAGGGAGCCCCAAGAAAGCGTTTCATGCCACTTTCGTGAATGGTCACTTGGCAAGACGGTTTTCACCTGGCAAAGACCTCTATGGTAAAATGCTCGAAGCAGTTTCATGTCCAGTCCCAGAATGGAGGTGAAATGTCCCAATAAGTCCCATTTTCATCCAGAGGAATCCAGAGGCGATGGCAAGTCTAAGATTGGAGTTGTTTTTTTCGAAAAAGATGGCATTTTTTCAGGTTGCGCTGTTGCTCAACAGCCCCAAATGGTCGCTGACTCGGTTTCAGGTGGAAGCCCCAAGAAGAGCCTACAGTGGCTCAGGACGTGATGGATCACGCCGGCTTCGTTCGATTTTGGTACCAAAAAGTAGGTGAGAATCATGAAATAATGATGATAGCAGCATGACATAATTAGCAAAAATGGCATCTGAAATGGCAATTTGATTGATGCGTTGGTGGTCTAGATGGCAGTTTGGGCCTTCTTGCTTCTTCAATCAGGCCATGTGTGAATGAAAGAACTGGGCAAAACTAGGTAAAACGCAAGGGTTAGATGAAGCACCATCGATGCACTAGGAAGGGCCGACAAACATCCATTTATTTTGTTTAGGTCTCAATCACGGTTGGTTGAGACCCAGTGTAGATCTTCAAAAATGGTTGAAGCTGGGCATATAGATTTGCCTGGCTTCGGAAGGCACTGAAAGTTGTTGACATTGATGGCAACAAAACACATGTGTGTTTGAGAACATTTTCAGAAACATTGGTTCAACTATCATGATCATGTTCTGTTCTATCACAGCCATTATTCGTGAAACAGTCATGTCTGGGATCATGGGGTCCAGGAAAGCCCTTGCCTTGGCAGCGGCACCCGGCCCACCCGGCCTTTCAATGTCGCAAGCAGCTGCCACCTATCATGACATGGCGCCGCGACGGAAGAGGAAAGATGGTGATGCCAAGTTTCGGCCAGATGTTTCAGTCACAGTCTCTTCGAATTCGGAAGTGGTCACAACGTTGACAAACAAACATATATATGGTTAATATATGGTTATTATATGGTTATTATATGGTTAATATATGATTAATATATGGTTTTTGTCATGTTTCAGTATTCAACATTATCCTGCAGAATAAGATGTCATCATGGATCCATATTCTATGACTTGTGAGGCTGTATTAGAATCGCGCCTGGAACGTCCTAATTTGCCACGCATTTTGGAACTCTACAATCAGAGCTTGCAACTTGCTCCAGATCGATCGCTGACGCAGGAGACGCCGAACGAAAATCAAAATTTGCGAAATCTGCAGTGTATTTTCTGCATTCTCATATTGACATATTGATTACTGGCCGATGACTCAACTTTGATCTCTTTTGGTTGTCACCAAACTTGTTTGACCAGTGCCCTGCTCCAAGGTTCAAAAAATAGTGGTCAAAGTAGTTGGTTTGATTTCCGACATTGGGGAATTAGAATTATCCCATTATATTCATTATAAGAATTCCAATGGGATGGATGACCATCAACATCCATTAACTACATCTACATCTATGTAACTTGACATAGCGCATGTGTTTCACCATACTTTCACCATGTGCTGCTCCACTGCGTTTTGTTTGTTCCCTAGGAGCACTTTGGCCTGGCTCTGGCCGTGGCGGGGCGTCACGCGGAAGCCTTGGTCACGTTGCAGGCAGCGCAGCAACTGGGTCGGGACAGCGCCGAACTTCACAACGGTCTCGGTGCCATTTGGTTTGCACAAAAGAAGTGGCGACTTGGAATGACTGGGGAAGGAGAAAGAATGACGCCTTTTTATGACTCTGATTGAACTTGGCTGACCTCTGAAGAATGCCATAAAACCGTATAAAACTATAATCATATACAGTAAAACCATATTAAGAAGCATATAAAACCCACGAACAATGGGCTCAAATCAGCTGTGGGATTTGTTATGAGTCATGGAGTCATGAAATATTTAGAATGGGGCACAACGCTAGGAGTTGGGGACGATGCCCGTTGACCTCTGGACCATCCGGCTTCCTGGTATTCCAGATTCGACATAAAAACCTTAAGCTTGATTTGGACACCACTTAGAGTTCCAGTTTTTGTTTCCAGTTGGGTATGGGTCAATACCTATAGATACATTTTTAGTGGGATGAACATCCATTTACCAGCTATTTTGGGGTTCACTAGGTACCAGGGTTTTGACCCATCCCCACTTCCTCCAGTTCCTCCATGTTCCTCCGAGGCGACGCGCTCAGATGGAGTTTGAAAGATCCTTGGAGCTACGACCCAGCTGGACGGAGGCCCAGGAGAATCTTCTGGCCGTGCGAAAGAGACGAGAAAAACAAAGAGAGCGGAAAGGGCGGGAGCTTCATTGACTTGGCCGGCTTCAAGATGCTTCAAGAATGACATGACATCATAAATGACATCATAAATGACATCATAAATGACATCATAAATGACATCATATGACAATTATGTCATTCTAGATAATTCCAGTTTTTTGTAGTTGTTTTATGTGTTTTTTTCCATGGTTTTTCTGAACATCGAAACACAACTTGGGACAGGGATTTCACCAGCAAAATTGGCCCCTTTATCTGTGCTGGAAATTCACTTTATCATGATCTTTTTTGGATTTGTATTGTGATGATTGTGATGTGGAAATGATGGAAAATGATGTGGAATGATGGGAATGAAATGATGGAAAATGATGGGAATGATGGGAATGTTCTCCAAAGTTGTGACCTGTAGAAGCCAAATCCTGGGTCTCATGGTCTCAACAACCCGCAACAGAGATGAACCCAGGGCGGCAACCTTGCTCCGACTGGCCAAGTGTACAGGATCAAAGAAACAGCCCCGGAAAAGACACAGAGTCAGCCTGTCAGCTGTAATTTTGGACTTTCAATTTGCGAAGAATCTTTCAATATCATCAATATCTTAGCAAAACGTTCCCAGCATCCCAATATGCTGCGGGTTTCTGCTTCGGGTAGAGCTTCCACAGCGATGCGATGAGTGCTCTACTTTTCTGCGTGGATCTGGGCCTTGCGCTGGAGCTGATCAAGAGCTATTCTTTTACACCCGAGATCTCCGACGAGGTGAACCGGATGTGATGGTTATGGTCCATATATGGTCCATATATGGTCCATATGGTTACTATTGATGTGATGGTTACGTTACGACATCGAGCTTAGGTGATCCTAACGGTGATCCTAACGCTCCTAACATGTCCTAACCGTCACGATGTAGGCCCTGTCCCTTGCGTGGGCTTCGTGGACGCCAGGTAGTTTTCACAGCGACGCGCGAGGCTGTGGTGCTATCTGGACGGAGTATCGTGGCAGCAAGCTCTGAGCCGTGGATGTTCAGCAGTGTTTCCCTTGCTACCTGAGAATTTTTGAGACGGGAGTCAAAACGCGGAAACTGCCGACAGTTTTGCCAAACGGTTTTTTACTGGACAAATCATCAATGGACTGCCAGGAATTAGAACATGTTCGCCCCCCATTGATACTGCCATTGATACTGTACAACTGGGACTCGGCTTTGTGGCTGTGTTTGGCTGGAGAGTGAGGCACTACCGAGTGTTCCAATGGCGGCTTTTCAGAGAACGTGTCGAATGTGGCCATTGCCATCACCGACAAAGGCGGATGCGACGGACGATGGCTGCAGAAACGCTGGATCTCCAGAGTTCTCAATGTGAGGTTGTGTGTTTGACAAACACCCTGAGAACACTGGTTTTTTAGCAACAACTTTGACGTCAAATCCATTAAATATCCATGTTATATAATGATTTAGATATGTAAGTAGCTTGAGCCTAGTGACGCATCTTCGGTCATGGAGGTTGTCCCGCTCGGGGTGTTCCTTCAGTGATGTGGGATGATTATGGATTAGTTGTGGATTCCTGACTCAAAAACACTCGTCCCGTGGTCATCTTGAACTTGTGTCCAGGACAAGGATGTTATGCGACTTCACAATACTCGGTAGGCGGGTTGGGGTTCCGGGCATTGATGAAACAACACAACAGAAATGGAGATGGAAAACAACATGAAAAAACAAAAAAAACAAGTGGATTTTTTCTTCCAGACTGCCACCTTTGAAGGGCCTGGATCACCGCAAGTTCGCACCTGCTTTTGGACGATTGACTTTTGTTGCCCATTGCGGATTGGGATTCCAGAGTTCAAAGAGATACAGCCCAACTTCAAGAATATCGAGAAATCTATGGAAATCTAATCTCTTTTCTATTTGGAGACCCTGTAAAGATACATAGTTCCAAGGCACCATCTGGGTCATCTGAAAGCTGACACTTGAGGGGCTGAAAACAGAGTCTCGGCAGAGTACATACTGTCGTGGCAACAGTTCCTGAACATTTGAGCATACGGTAACCGTATTTTTCAGGGATGATTTTTGTGAAGAAGATGTCGGACTGGCTCCCCTGTAAGGATCCCTTATTTTTACGAGCAAATTTCTCCAAATTCAGTGGCTAAAGAGTGGTGTGATTTGTGCCTAAAACCGATCCTAAGCTCAGTGCCAGGTGACTTCCCGGTGGTTGTGGGCCAGGTGAACGTCGATGGCCAGGTGCCATGTTGAACGATTCCTGTTGGAGCGCTATCCATTGCCATCCATGGCTGCAGGCTGTTGCGGCCTATGAAATTCGTCCAGCTGGATCAGATGCGGCTCAATTCGTGGCCAGTGGCTCTGGCTTATACCTCCGCCTACCAGGTGCAGGGATGTGCAGGGTACAGTTGGGCCAAGGACACACTTTTTTCCAGCACATTAGCAGACTGATAGCATCATGTTAGCATCTTATGGAACTTTACAAATCGCATGCTTTGTGCTCCAATTGCCCGCTGAGAGATTGGTAGACTGGTAATTCCTGGTAGTCCTGTTTTGCTGATCTGCGGCCCTGGAATGCCTGGGCCTGGAATGGAAGGTGACAGTGCGGAGTACTCGGTCTACAACTTGAGGGGTGGAGCGCTGGTGTGGGTTGCAACCATGCAGGCAGATGCATCTCATGGGCCGTTGAGTGTGACCAAGCGGCTGCTTAAGACTATTGATTTGGATCTGAAAAGGGGTATCCCACCAAATGGCCATTGAACATGGGGAATATATGGTAGAATGATGTAAAATAATGTAAAATGATGATGAGTCGAGCCCGTGGATGGAATGTGGTTTTCTCCTAAATTTTCACCACTTGTTCCCCAAACAGTGTGTTCACACTGAGGGGTTCTTACGGTAGGAGCCAAAGGCCGGGGTTAGATCAGGGTGCTCCATCTGATCTTCGGCCATTTTGCTGTAAATTCTCGCGCACAAGTTTCCTTATAATATAAGATGTCCATGTGGATTTCGACTGCGCTTCCCAAGCTCTCGTTTTACTAGCGCACGGTGCTCGTTTTTTGAGCTATGTCCATTTCGTGTGGCAGACGTGGCTCTTTCGGGACATTTTGAAGTCTGACAGGCGCAGGACAATGGGCAATTTTTTCATGCGCATGGCAGGCGTGGCACTTTCTGGACGTTGCTAAAACGTTGGCAGGCGTGGGTCAAAATGAGAGCTGCTTTTGGAGGTCATTTTTCGTGGCAGGTGCAGTGCTTGGTGAACTTGGACGACATTTTGAAAGGGTCGAAAGTCTCGTCTTTTGGAACTGTTGTCATTTTTGATTTTGGACATGGCGGTTATTCCGTGTGGCAGGTGCAGCACTTCGGATGCCTCTGGCTCATTTTTTGTGGCAGGCGCAGTACTTTGTAGACCTCGGCAAAAAAGTGACCAAAACCTAGGTAAAATGCGTTTTTAACATTTTCAATGTTCATTTTTCGTGGTGCGCGCAGTGTTTTGTGAAAATCTAACATGTGCTCGCGCAACCCTCTCGTCACTTTGTGCGCTGCTTCTCTTAGAGCATGGTAAAGAGGATAAAAAGGCCTGATGAGTTCTGTGGAAGGTCCTTCCTTGACGATCTTGCAAGAGTTTCATGATGCAGTCTTAGAGGCCCGTAATATATGAAGCTCGTGACCAAGGTCTTGCAGAGGCCCTTGTGAGAAGATGTTGTGAAGATTTTGATGAGATCCTGTCAGAGGTCCTGCATGAACTTGAACAGGTCCTTATGAGAAGATCTTGTGAAGATTCTGCTGACATCCTTGAAGAGTCCTTGGATGATCAGGTCCTTATGAGAGGATCTTGTGGAGACCCTGGTGAAGTCCTCTCTAAGAGGTCCTGGCATGATCTTGTGCAGGTCCTTGTCAGAAGATCTCGGTGAGATCCTTTGATCCTTTCTAAGAGGTCCTTGCATGAAGATCTTGCAGATGTCATGTCTTAGAGGTGCTTGTGCGAAAGCCCTTCTGGGATGCTCTTGGGAGGTTCTTGTTTCAAGATATTGCAAGATCCTCTCCAGCAGCAGCAGGTCCTTTTATGACGATCTTGTGGGGTTCTCTTAGGGGTCCTGGCCCGAAGATCTTTGTAAGAAGATTTTGTAGAAATCCTGGTGAAATCTTTTCGGAGGTCCTTGCAGTGCATGCTCTTGTATGGGTTCTTGCGAGAAGATCTTGTGGAGATCCTGTCGATCCTCCTCAAGAGGCCCTTGCGTTAAGATCTCTCAGATGCTCTGCGTTGGTCCTTGTATGAGAGTTCTTCTGGGATGCTCATAGGAAGTTCTTGTGTGAAGATCTTCTAAGGTCTTCTATATAGAAGGTCCTTCTTTGACGACCTTTTGAAATTTTCTTAGGTGTCCGGGTATGAGGTTCTGCTAGGAGGTCCTGCTATAGTGTCTAACCTGATCTGTTCCTGTTCCATAGCTTCTGTTGTTGTATCTGATGCATTGACTTCCTACCCCTCCCCACACTGTTTGGGGTCTCTTGCCGGCAAAATTTTTGTTAGAGTTCCACCCCAGTGGTTCAGTTGAAAATTCAACGCCACAAAGGAAAATGAGAGATTTGAAGCAGGCCAGGTTAAGGCCCAGGGCGCCCAGCTGCAGGCACTGGGAACTGCTCAGTTTGTTTCCACTTCGATCAGCATTGAAGCGGCTTGCCTTGGCAGCACTGCGGCCAATGAATATACCAATGTCTATATATATATATATGCCTCAAACAGTTGTATATGTGTATGTATCACAATATGTTACATTAATAAATCCATTCCCCTAGTATTAGATACTCCCCATCAGTAGCACATAACTCATGAATAGATCCAATACAATCCACCATGGTTTCGTTTGGGTGAGTATTGTGAGACTTTGATGGTCTCAACGCCCCTGAGTGCTGATCTACCTATATAGTGTCGTTAATATTATCTGACCATCGACAATGTATATATTACATACACATCATATATAGTGTATATATGGTTGGATATATATAGTGTCTACACACACACATTATATATATAATATGTATGTATGTATAGTATATATATATATATTATACATTGAAAAGGCAAAAATGGATGGTTTGGGTTTCTACAGTTTCTGCATTCGCCTCCAACTTGCTCCGCGTTGCTCCGCGTTGCTCCGCGTTGCTCCGCGTTGCTCCGCGTTCCCCCGACGTTCCCAAGGCATTGTCTGCACCAGAGATCTACACCGTGTTGCCCAGTACCACCAGCATTCCGAGCCCTACACGGTTGCTGCTCAGCGGGCACAAGGTACCTGGCACTGTCCATAAGTCATGGGCTAAATCATCCATTTATAGGTCGATTTTCCATGAAATCAACCGTCCAGCTATTGGGGTACCCCCACTTATGGAAATTTCTGTTTTGCTGCTGGATCCATTTCTTCCAATTAATTTTGGATTTGGGGTGATTCAGTCCTATGTCAAAGCGGCGATTGGCCCGAATGGAAGGTTTCATATGGTTGCATGTGATGCTCGGCAGGCCGTAAGGGTTCAGGGGAAACCCAGGAAAACCATCAAAAAATGGTGGATTTTTGACGGGTAGAAAGTATAAGCCATATAGGTGTTTTGTTTGTTTGAAGACTATCATCTCTTGACCAGTCCAGAACCTTTGCAGGCCACTGAATGTGACAGTCTCTTCCCCGAATCGGAATCGCTGGGCGATGTGATGGTGGTCACCATGTCAGGAGCAGGGGCGGGCGACTATCCTGAAGAGATATGTCGATAGTCGATATACTGTGGAAGAAATCCTGCACCAGTTGATAGGTGGTAAACATACCATTATTTAAAGGGTTTCAACCATCCAAGGTGGCGCAGGATTTCGCAACCATCCACAGTATGTCGATATATGTTGGTAGATGTCATAGATCTTCCCGTCGGAGGAAGTGGACAGTGTTGGACGGACCTTCGCTACTCCAACAGCAACTTTCTGGTGCAGAAGGGCCGCATAGGCACGCCATTGCAGTCGCGGCATTTTCTGTGCTTCACTGAGTAGACTCGCATGATGCCAATTCATCAGGTCTGGCCAAAATGCTGGAGACCGATAGAGAAAGCGTCTCTCGAAGTAATTCGACCACGATCATAAAGGTGCTTTGACTCATGCATTTTTTCCCTTACTCCCCCGATTTTTTTTGGGGGGGCAAACGCTTTGAGAACAGTTCTAGATGTTTCTTTTCAAAACGGTGAGAAAAGCCTTTGAAAAACGCAGGTGAAATGGTGACTTACCAGATCTCTCCGCCCACCACTATTGCCACCCAATTCGTGGCCAGCAGAAGCCATCTCTACATCAGGCACACTGAGTATCACCGAGTATGATGGTCACCATAGTCACCAACTAGTAAGGGCACAATGGGGGTTCCTGAAGTGTAGCACTTTGCAGCATTTTGTCGCAGTGTTGAAACACTTACATGTGTGCTGAAGCAACAGCTGACTTTTTGCGATATTTCCCCACCTGCCAGGTGAGGGTTGTTAGATTTTATCAGAGCTGTTCTCCTCCTCCTCCGCCTCCTCCTCCATCTCCTCCTCGTCCTCCTCCTCGCAGTCCAGATCCCAGTGGGCAATGCCGGACCTCCACCGCGAGCTCCAGATCCCAATGGGCACTGCCGGACCTCCACCGCGAGCTCCATTTTTTTCTAGTGGGCACTGCCGGACCTCCACCGCAAGCTCCAGATCGCAGTGGGCACTGCCGGACCTCAACCGCGACTTCCAGGTTGCAGTGGGCACTGCCGGATCTCAACCGCGATTTCCAGATCGCAGTGGGCACTGCCGGACCTCAACTGCGACTTCCAGGTCGCAGTGGGCACTGCCGGACCTCAACCACGAGCTCCAGATCCCAGTGGGCACTGCCGGACCTCAACGGCCAGATAGAATGCCAGAAGATATGCCAGATGGAATGTCAGATAGAATGCCAGAAGATATGTCAGATAGAATGCCAGAAGATATGCCAGATAGAATGCCAGAAGATATATCAGATAGAATGCCAGAAGATATGCCAGATAGAATGCCAGAAGATCTGCCAGATAGAATGCCAGAAGATATGCCAGAAGATATGCCAGAACATATGCCAGAAGATATGCCAGATAGAATGCCAGATAGAATGCCAGAAGATATGTCAGATAGAATGCCAGCAGATATGTCAGATAGAATGCCAGAAGATATGCCAGATAGAATGCCAGAAGATTTGCCAGATAGAATGCCAGAAGATCTGCCAGATAGAATGCCAGAAGATCTGCCAGATAGAATGCCAGAAGATATGCCAGATAGAATGCCAGAAGATTTGCCAGATAGAATGCCAGAAGATATGCCAGATAGAATGCCAGAAGATATGCCAGATAGAATGCCAGAACATATGCCAGAAGATATGCCAGATAGAATGCCAGATAGAATGCCAGAAGATATGTCAGATAGAATGCCAGAAGATTTGCCAGTAAGAAAATGTATAAATGCCATGGTGGGGATCGTTCGAAGTGAAGTAATTCAATATTGTGTTTTGTTGGTGACAAAATTCGCATGCATGGATCCAAATGGATGGAATGGATCGCAGGAAACCCACGGCCGATGTCAAGTTGTGGACCTTTCGCGCTGGGCAGTTTGAGCTTTTGGACACGCTGCAACCATCCGCATCGACGCTTGCCGTTTCGGGGCGTCTCATGCGATCTCGGGGGGTTCTAGATATGGCTTTGCACCAAAACATCACCCCCAAAACAGGTGGTTTATCATCATTTCGCCTTTTCAAATGGCCTTTTGGAGGGTTCACAATTTTCAGACACACACACACACACACCATATCTATCCTACATGTTACACACCTACGCATCACTCTTGATCATATATTTTCTTGCTGTGCATCATGCAATGGGTTATCCATTGGCATAATTATTATATTTATGGAACATTCTTGGCAACATATTCTGTCATTAAGCCTTTGGAAATTAAAATTAAACCGGGCCAAACAAACCGAATGATTTGAAAGGGCCGGACAGCTGCCGTAGTGCCAATCCGGACTATAATCTAGAGGATCCGGTGACTTTAGTATGTCAAAACTGGCCTCCTGGGGTCTGAGAGGGGGGGGGCACCAAAAGAAAAAAAAGGAAGTTTTTTTTGACCCACCCCCCCCTCAGAGAGGTCTAGAAGGTAAAAAAAGAAGTTTAGGGTCTCCAGAGGCACGAGGAGGAAGAGAGAAATGGTAACAAAAATATCTATACGGAAAACTTAGTAGCAACATATTAATCCAAAATTTGGCCCATATATATTCATTTTTTTCTTTTTGCATGAAACTAATTATTGCATTAAGCTAACGCTAAGATTTCTTAGATAGTGTAACTATAACTGACTTTGATATTCTAAGTCTGTATGCTAGCATATATTGGCACAAAGTAAAGTAAAATGAACCATAGTTTTTTTGATTGATCCTAATGACCTAATCCAAAAAGTTATAAAGTATAACAGAGATAATCAAACAATGAGCATTTGATGATATAGTGACCAAAGATGTTTTTAGAGTGTTTTTCAATACACCGTAAAAATCTGCCCTCCACAACGTCCCTTTCTGTATATATATATATAAACATTATATTGATATATATTTAGTATTACTATATATATATACACATTCAGAAATATTATATATATATTTATATACACAGATAAATACTATATATACATATACATACATATATATATATAAATGATTGAGTCCATTATATGCCGTCATATCCCATGATATCACCGTTTGGGGCCCACAGATCCCAACTTGACCCAGATCGACATAAGGACCTTTGAGAAGACGGCCGTGCGCCTGGACAACATCCAAGAGGTCGGTCGGCATCGCCGTCGGGTCGGGCATGTGCTGCGCCGTCGCTGTTTCTGTTAAGGCATATCCATAGCCCCGCATCAGTGAGCTGGATGGCCAACTTTCACCCAACCCCAAAATTCTGGATGAATCGTGGTTTGATAGGTTAATTGATACGTACAGACGTGCAGACGTACAGACGTACAGACGTACATACATACATACATACGTACGTACATAGATACATACATACATAGATACATAGATACATAGATACATAGATACATACATACATACATACATACATACATACATACATACATACATACATACATAGATACATAGATACATAGATACATAGATACATAGATACATAGATACATAGATACATACATACATACATAGATAGATAGATAGATACATAGATACATAGATACATAGATACATAGATACATAGATAGATAGATAGATAGATAGATAGATACATACATACATACATAAAGTGACAATGTCTGGACAACTCATGATGATTTGCCGTTTCGAAAAATGTTGATTTTCTATAGCAAACTGTTAAATAACCAAATGATATATATATATATATATCTCCTCATATTGCCTTATTTCAGTTGCTTTAAGGCTAGTGAATTAATATTAAGCCATATATATATATATATATGCTGCTATATGCATACCATATTCTGCAACAAAATGTGCAACGTCCCAGGAGTTGCTTGTCATCATCCATCCTGCCACGGAGCATCTCACGGTATGGCCACGCCTGGCACCCACCGTGGAGGCCTCCTGTGCTGGTGATGGCATGAAATCAGCCTTTTTCAGAACGGGAAATTATCCATTTACCCTCTGGTAAACATTTAAAAAGACATGGAAAATCAGAATTTTTAATGGGTAAATCCACTATTTCTATGGCCATTTTCCATAGCTATGTCAGAGGGTAGATATACAAACATATATGGATGATTGTCTATATATCTATATGATGTATCTATATAGATAATCATATGGATATGTAGACATATATGGATTTATTTAAACATTTATATATCCATATATGGATACGGTCAATCATGTATATGTATATATATATATCTATATGATACTCTCACTGAAATCACATGTTTTCCAGCTTTCCAACTTTCCTATCTTTTTTGCGGCTGCTACAGCATTTGGTTTCTACCAAGTCTTCTTCGAACTTGTTGAAAAGTGTTCTTTGCAATCCATTATTGGAAATTCCTGGAATAGCTTTAAACAAAGCAGTAGAACCAGTTCGCAAGCAGGTTTTGAACGCTGCTCAGATGATTTTGTATATGATAGATAATGATGTGAACTATTGCAATATGCTGTTCTATGGTGTATAGTTTTTTGATGGTATCTACATTTGCTGCTATATGTACATCTCCCTCTCTCTCTCTCTATTTGCATGTATTCTGTAAATCAGTCTATACATACACACACACATACACATCCACGGGAACCAGACCAGCTAGGCAGCAGTTCTTGAGGGTGTTTCCCAGCAGTGGTCTTTGAGCTGCTACCGCACCTGGTCGTGGTTTGTGGCAAGGGTAACTAGGGTAACTGTTGACGCTGTGGCACCAGCAGGAAAATTGTCCTTTCAACAATGTTTAAATAGTAGTTTGACAGTCATTTCATAGAACATCGTCACATTAATACACTAGTTTGATTTGAAATCATCTTATCTAAGACAGTCATTTTCAGGACCAGAAAATCGTGGACTGTGTTCGAAGCGGGGCCCCAGTAGCCATTGCCATGGCCACAAAGGTCTTGAAATCCAAAGCTGCCAGTATGAATGCACCCATATAATAATCTATGTCATTTGCTTTTGTCAGGTTCGGCCACATACTACTGGCCATATGACATGTAACGGAAC